AGGCGTTATTCTGGTTGCGCGCCGATAACAAATGCCGAACACTGGAGGTGGGGGCGGCTTCGGTCGTGCCAGCTATTTGCGCCCGATCTCGCCTTCGGCCTTATTTACTCTGTTTTGACACCGGATGCGGGTGCGTGAGGAGAGGGTGAGAGTGTGGTAGATGTTGCGCAAGTTTACTATCATTAAAAACTAATCCAAGCGAAAGTCACCGCGTCTGCCTTCAGCTTGCTAGAGAACGCGATGGACATCGTCGAAAGTCGACGGTCGAACTGTCGTGTCATTGGGGGCAGGGGGTAATTTGACCAGTATCTATGAGTTCTGTTTTAATGCGGTCTTCTAGCGGCGGTTGCCGGTCAGAGATCCGACGATGTTAGGGCTCCATCGCCTGAGTTTAGGCACTGTCACAAGAATGCAGCTAGCATAACTGGGAACGAATTTTTGGTCAGCCCTTTGATCGCACAGCTGAAAATATGTGAAAAGAGATAGTATGCTTGGTGATTTCTGCAATTCTGACCACGAGCAGTGTTCACCCCTCTTCGCTTATTCTAGGTCCCCGCCGAGTTCGAGGGATGGCTGCCAACAAGTGCGGGCCCAACTGTCGCTTCCATGGCAGACCTATTTTCCTGAACATCGATTATAAAAATATTTTCATTTGGTACGGGAAGTAAGTTCAAGTCTACCTACGCAGGAAGAAAATGGTCACTGAAATGATTACTGAAATATCACGTTTGTATGGCATGCAAGTGGTGTTAACGGCATTCATTTCAGCATAACAACTTGCGTACTGCTACAAGTACGAGTGTAAGTGCCTGCAGGATATTCAACACACTTTGTGTATGTGTGACGTGAGCGAAAAGTAACAGTAAACATACATTGAACCTGTCTAAGAAGCCTGACAGTCTCGTGCATGGTACAACTTATGTGGAGTCTGTGGCCTTCTGTGATTGTCCGACAGGCACAATAACAAGTTTTCTCCGGACTTAATTTCATTTTCACGGCCATCAGTTGCGTTGTTCGTGATATGAAGACATAAAAACACGGCAGACTAATATGCAGCGGTTGACGGCTGGATTGTTTACGACATTCAAGTGGTTTCCTTCGTGCTACACAGAATTTACATTCAGTTTGTCCTATCACAATCATGGCTTTTATGAGACACAGCTGCTGTGGCTGCTGTTGTTGCTGTCAGCCTTCATCCTGGGCGACCAGACTGTGCAGTACGACGGAACCCACCGCATTAACCAAACTCGTGTTTTTTCAGACGCCAGTACCGCGGCCGAGCGCTTATATTCTGGACCTTCACTTAATGACTTGCCCCAGTACATAAAAAGGGAGACTCGGTCCGTTAGGTAAATTTGCTGGATAAGTGCAGTTAAAAAGGCCAAGTCATTTCGAACTCGCCATCGTCCTAACAAAGTTGAGGACCCTAAGTATACCTCAGTCGTTGTTTTGACTTGAAGCCAGTAAATCGCGGTTGCATTTGAGGGCCTTATATCTTCTAGTCTCCTGCTCTAAGTTCTTTGCTTAACAGGGTGAAATTGCTAGTTTGACTTCCGTTTTGAATTTTCTAAAATACATGGTGTCAGACGCCCCCGTAGGATAAGTTATTTCTTGGTAAAAGATTAGATGGAGCAGAAAAATTTATTCATTTCCCCGGACTATATTAAAAGTAAAAATAAAATCTTCCACAAGTAAGTTGACCAAACTAAGATGGATAAAAGTTCCTTTAGTTTTTGTAACTAGTAGAAGTCTTTTAGCTACCAGCTTATTTGAAAAGGAAAATAAAACACTTCTGTCTTGCATCCTTATGTTTGAATGTTGTCAAATCTAACTTCAGTTTCTTAATGCTGACTTCAAGGTAAAATATATTAAAGTTTTTCATATTGGAGACTACGTACGGAAGGTTAAGTGATCTACTGACAAGCCAAACTTCTATTAGTTCTGTTAGAGAACAAAATAAATGCCGCAAAGCGCGTGCTTAATTTGGGACTGTTATGCAATCATTATATAGCAAAATTTTATGAGCCACCCAAACTTTTAGACCTAAGATGCCTAAACGTATGTCCTGACAATTCTTAGATCGAACTGTTTTATCGATGCGCATTAATCTGTGGCCCAGGATATAACAGTAATAATGCCTATCTATTATAAAAACAGACAATAGGCGTTCCAATTCGACCATGCGATGCTCAAACTATTCTTTAGTTATTTTATGGAGCACTGCTTGCGTCAATTTACCCTTTTAGAGAACTGATATAAACCACTCAATTAGCATCAAAATGACACTCACTTTTAAATTGCAAAGCACAGCAAAGGCTTTTTCATCTGAATAATTTCCTAATAATAAAAGCCAAGAAACCAATATATTTCATCAGGAGCAAACCGTTATAGTGCAGTTAATGTGGGCTGCATTAAGTAAGGAAAGTTTCCAATATATATATGTCTCTCGCAGAAACTGGTAAGAAATTACTAAGTCATTAGGTTGACTGTTATCCCTTCAAGTTAGTTATATCTGAGTGTGTGGTGTCTATAGCCATACAAACTAAAATTTACTATACCTTTGCTTTTTAATCATCTTAGTCACCTGCTCATCGTCAATGTGTCCAAAATCCAATGAGAGCTAGCGGACTTGGGGTAAATTCTACGTTCGTAATACCATATCTTTCAATATAAAGGCAGGCCAAAACTGCAGCTTTTGCTACCGCTGGTGCTCCCGCAGAAGTACTTAATCCGTCGATGTGTTAGCATTTTGATTAAAATGGTTGGCGTGGAAGGAAATTTGCAATTTTATCAACGTCGTTTCCATTTGAGACAGTATATTTGTTGTCGTTTATCTCCTTCTTTATTTCAGAGTGCCCCATAAAGTTAGAACCCTCTTTAATGGGCTTTAGTACAATAAATACGATTAGTCGTTCCCGAAGGCAGACTGACCTCACTTACTGAGGCAGATAATTTAGTCTTTATGACTAATGTAAACAATAACCGAGTCAGGATTTCTATGACCATACGCAAAAAAAGTTTGCTAGATGTTATATGCAAAAGTATTTTAGGGTCTAGCTACCGATGCATTTTAAGTTAAGTAATCTTACTTACTAAAAATATTAGTGGTGCTTTTCGAGTAAACACAAGAATGGAATTCGACCCCTTGTTCAGCATTACATCAAAGTTAGTCAGTCAGCTTCCACAGAGTTATATTCACGCGCAATATCCTCAATTATGTGAATAGTTATTGCCATTCCCCTTCTTTTTTTAATTTTAATCCGCGTTTTTTCTTCATTTCTAAACAGCAATAATGCCCTATGTTTGCTGCAGTTCCCTCTATAGTGAGTTTTTCTACACTAAAATACCTTAAAAGGCAGTATAAATTCCTCAAATAAATATGGTGCGCTACATGGCCTTCAATGTTTTCGACGCGGGATGGATAAATCATCCAAAATAGTTGGCTTCAACAACTTATAAACAATGAAGGATGTCGTCACAGGTTGTAGTTTCATCAAGTTACTGTACGTATTCTACAGAGAGTCAAACATGCTGGTTTATGCGCTGGTGTTTGAAGTTGATAATAAACTACAAAATACGTTCTGTCCTGAAAAAAACTGCTTTATTGTCAGCGCTGTTGGCTACCTGGTCCTTTTGTCACGCCATACTGAAAATGGACCACATCGCAGAGAGTTGCACAACCTAAGCTGCCTCCTAGGTAGACTACAAATTGGCCTGTTGCTTACTTTTATTACATGAATAACCCTGCTTTTATAACTGGCGGCACCTGACAGAAAGAAAAAGACCTAGCAACTATATTCAAGACACGGCTTCCTGTTGAACAGTATTCAGGGTCTTGCGTAGTTTCTTCTTTTTTAGAAAAACAATGTGGATATATGTTGCTTTAAGTGTGGCTGCAGTTAAAAGTAAGACATTTTGTATCGAGTTTCAAAACACATAAAAAAAGAAACTCACGATTATGTCTGCATCCAAGAATACGGCTTTCGAAAAGTCTGTGAGTGTCCAACAGTGAAGCTTGGTATAAGTTGTTCCAAGGTTCGGCCGGTTCAGAAAAAAGGTGCTCCCATTGTCTGTGCTTTGCAGCTGTTTCACAACAATAATGTTGTCATAGACCTGTCTCAGAAGATCTCTGAATGGCCATTAATGATGAAACTTATTTTATTTACCGAAAGGAATGCGGCACGCCTTCAGTTATTAAAACCGTCAACTCCTTCTGTGTGTTGACCAGACGCAGTGAGTGGCCCAGAACCAAAGCACCAATTGAGTAGGTGTCATTTGTTGTTAACGTAACGAAAGTCTCCCTGGCCACTATATATTGTAAAAAAGGTAAGATTAACTCAAATATGCATCTATAACCTAATAATTGTTTCGGTTGCCATAGTTGAATTATTTTTCCAGCTACGGAAATTCAGTGCGTACATGAAAAGATTTGCCTCAAAATCCACTTAACGTAAGGCAAAACTTTTTTTACTGAGGACAACCCATATATTTAGGTTTTGAATCCGAAATACCTTCGAGGGACTTTGAATAAATAATAATCTAAAAATCTGAGCGAAAATACAGTGAATGATCAATCGAAACAAAATTAAAATCAATGATTCCAAAGTAAGAGTTATAGTAAAAAATTCTTTTAATGGACTCGAATACTCATATAAATTGCGGCCTGGTCATTAAAAATTCATTTTTCGACCACTTTATTTAAAAATAAAGTGGTTACTAATAACTGAATTATGTTCTGAATTATGCTCAGAATATGGCTTAAGTCATTAACTGATGAATGTAAGGATTGAACTCATTTTTAAATGAAACATTTTGGATGTGTTCTACGTGAAATTGTTTAGAATAACCGTATACATTTGTGTTTTGATGACACATTTCATTATTATGTCTCCCTGCGAATTCCAGCAAAAGAAAGAAAGTAATGTGATTTAATGTAAGTTAAATTATGTGTCCGAATTTTGCTCTCAATTCTTTAAAGCCTATCAAAAACACATGGCAATATTTACGAACATCTCACACGTACTCTCACAAGCCAATTTTAAATGTGATCAGGTTTTTGTGTAATCAGACCGCGATGCAGTAAAAAAAATTTAACGGATTCTGATGATGCGGCGAGAAATGAAGGAAATACACAACTAACTATGTATATTCGTTTGCGGTATCTAAAATTATTTTATATTCTTTTGTTGAAATCAACTGCGTCAATGTTCATGGCAAATACTTTCGGACGGACTCGTGTTGGAAACGGCAGAAATCACAAGTTAAATATAAAGCGTTATTGAGGTCTTGAATTCTTATTTTCTGGCCGATAAGGTTTTTGAATACGTTTATTAGTTCGAGTCTTTAGGCACCAGAATTAGACACTGGTATATTGCGTGAGTATTTCTATGTGGTATGACTAAGTATTTTTTTTCTGTCTTTTATTTCCCCTGTTGACTTGAAGTTCTGGCTTATTTTATTTAAGTGCACACAGACAAAAATAAGCCTCGGTGTGCGCAATTACATTTTACCATTTCACTGTGCTCTACATGCTGTGGTTATTATGACTGTTGCCCCGGTCGCTACGAACTTCAACACTACGCAGTAAAGTTTTCTTCCTGAATTTTAAACTGCGAACACTATTCTTCAAGAACGGGAATAATTTAGTTGCATACTATGATTTGCTTTAGTGTTCTTAAACTATTTGTTTAAAAGAATCGCTATTAATAAACGCACTTCGACTTACGCCTACGTATAATGGCGAATATGAATTAATCTACCAACACTACTAAACGCTCCCGCTGCCTG